ATGGGCTGCAGCTTCTCATGGATTGTGGCTTGGAAAAGGCTGTAATTAGCTCGGATTGTCGCTGCGTAGCTGAAAAAGGGCGGCTCGCGAATCTTTTGCCTGGGGCGAGATGGATGGCTCAAAGGAACATGGGCAGAGAACAGTGCAAATGCTCGGAGAGACGGGAACGGTTGGGGGGAGGGGGGAAGGCCTGCCCCCCAGACGTCAGCGGTCCCTTCCCTCTTGCCCCCCCCTCACCCCGTAGATCGATTGCCGGGGCGACTCGCAGTACGAAATCGCCTCAAGCTTGGCTGGCCGCCCCAGGCGTCTTTTTGAGGAGGGTGAACCTGAGGTGTATGACAACAGGGCAGGGCAGGTAAGCCTCGAGCGCCAGCACATGGAATTGAGCAGCTCTCTGGGAGGTTCCTCCGAGCTGCCGGCGATAACGGGTCATGCTCCCGGTGCGTGAGACCGTGACGTGAGACTGAGAGAGGCAGTAAGGAGTGCCTAGGGAGATCCGCCGTCGACCACCTGGTGTGGTCATGACGAAGCCGACAGGTTATATCATACTGTGTTATGCGTACTTTTCCTGCGCGAGCACCTCTAGGGCAATGCATAGTTTGTTTCCTCGACTGGTGATGCTGGTCCGCGATTGGCATTCCAACCCCAAGACTGGCTAACGGCGCGCATGAAGTTGCACAGACTGTTGGAGATGAGCCTCCCAGGGCCTGGACACCCCGGTTAACCACCCCAAGGCGACGCCTGAGAGTTCGTGCGGGGATGTCGTCTTTCTGGTCCGCTGAGGGGCATGGGTAGACATACCATCGGCATATTCCAGGTTTTGAATCTTCATCACATCTTGACACAAAGGGTACGAGTCTATTCGTCATGCGCTCGCTACCCATGAGAATAGACGGGCCTGCCCCCAATGTTTGTGTCGCCTAGAAACCCGTAGCGGGGAAGACTGACCAGACTCGCAGAGTCGGTATCGGTAGTGAGGTTGCCATCGTATGCCGAGCTGCCACGCTACGACCCAGGCCGAGCTGCGTTGTCCCGTGCCGTACCCTGCGTTCGCTTCACGATGTGTGGCTCGGGACGCAATATGCGGTGACGGAAGGCAGATTGAAATCGGCGGCTTGGATGCCGTTTTGAAACCTCGGAAGAAGGCCCCAGGCGACCGTGTTTCCCGTTCCCGTCCTTGTCGAACGGGTGGTCCGCGCTGTTCTGAGAGAGACTTGCTTGAGATGGCGAGTCTCCCCTGCGAACGATCGCGACATGGCCAGGGAAGCACCGCCGAGGACAAGTGTTCTCTTTCCGAATGGGGCTTGAATGAAGAGCGAATGCTGCGTCGCACTGCGAAGGGGCCGCGGCCGTTGTCACTGCCACTGCTGCCACTGCGAGAGCAGCGTTCTTTGACCCTAGGTAGGCTAAGATGGCATGGCGTCCGGAGCCTGGATGAGGGTTCCAGGAGAAGGCTCCCGTCGTTCCTTGCAGGGGTCCAACGTCTACTGCTCTCCTCCCAGAGAGGGGTTCAAGGTCATGTACCGAGTACAAAATCGACCGCCAGCTTGCGACCGCCCTCGCCGTGGCCCGAAAGCCCGCTCATGGGTGACTCGTGCTGCCTGATCGCCATACGACAGCTAGGGTGCATGAATGATGCCGATTCGCAGGGTTCAAGGTACGCATGTTAGGCTGGAGGCTATGATGTGGTGGCACAGTACATTACAGAACAGTAAACCAGGAAAGCAGGCATCCATCCGGGAAACCTAGGGTTGCACTGCACGATATGACGAAGATGCATGCAAAGCAATGCAGGACAAGACAAAGAGACGAGTGGCTCGGACGGGGAATTCGGAGGCTTTGCTTGTTTGCCGGGTTGTGATCAACTATTGTCTGTGAGAGCTCGTTTTGGAGATTTGATGTCGGCGAAAAGCATCAAAGCGCTTCAATGATCTGCTGCACAAAGTCTATAGAGCGGTGCCCAGTTCATGCAAATCAAGATGATACGACCTCGAGGGGCTGCTGGATTCGGCCGACCAGTTCAAAGGGGGAAATTTGACCAAATTGAAATGACAAGATGGAGGACCTAGCCAAGGCCGATGCGCTGGAATAGGCCATCCGTGAACCCGGGTTACGTAAGGTTTCTGCCGCCATATCGCGCTGGAAATGACTCGTGACGATACTTTTCTTTGTTGTTGCCCGTCGTGTCGTGTGGGCGCCGACGTCGTTGTCGTCGTCCATGACATTGCGTACCTTATGCGTCCCTACCGCATCAGGCGGAAACGGCATTGTCCTGGTCCGACGACATTACCAGATCTGTGGACGGGCGCTGTCCCCTTTGCCCCCGCCTCCCTCCCTTACCATCGCCCGCGCCGCATGGCAAGTGAAGGATGTCTTTTGTGCCACGAGCAGCCTATGGAGACGAAGACCATCTGCCGCGGCGGGAGCTTTGACCGACGTTGCGAGATGTTGGGGGCTGGCCTCGGAGTCCAGGGAGTGAGCCCCAGTGCCAAAGCTGCACACGACTCTTGAATGGGGACATGCGCATGGGTTCACCAGCGAGATCTTGATGGACCAGAGTGGACGTGTGGTTGGTTTGGTCGGAGTCAGTCTGACCCAGGCCTATGATGCTGAAAAGCAGAGGTAGCATGCCCGCTGGGTAACGCGGGCCGTTTGGACCTGTCAAGCGAGTCGAAGAGAGAAGAGAGGCGAGAGCAGGGAAGCCAGAACAGAACACCTAGTCAGAAGTCCCCAAGCCTAGCCCCAGCCCGAGGACCCCTGGCTCCTGGCTACTTCCTGCCTGTTACTTTGGCGAGGTGGCAGGTGCGAGTGGGCAACGACAGCTGAGGCCGGCAACCCTACAGCGGAAGGCACCGCTGAAAAGGCACCTTCGGCAGGTGCCAGTAGGTACGTCCTGCCAGGTTGGGGGGTTGGGTCCCGCGGTC